TCGCTCAGAATCGTTTTTTCTTATACAATGATATTGTATCATTGAATTCAAATTTAATAGCATACATTATACAGTGACCCACTTGTAACCTACTGTACAGCAGAGCGACATCCACTTACCCACCTTTTTTTTGTATGTAATTTTGTCCAAAATTGAACTTAAAATTACTATAAAATAAACTATGCTTATGTATTTTTTAGATTTTTTGGTAACAGAATTAACTATATACGTGGAATCTTGTTTTAAATTTTCAATCCTTAGATATAAAAGTTGAACATTTTATTCATTTTTAACTACAAAATAATTATTCAATTTTAAATTTGATAAATTTTGTCAAAATTCGATCTTTAAATGCTTATAAAAAAAAATTGTGCCTATGTATTTTTAATATTTTTCAACTGATATTGTAACAATATATCAGAAGCATTGTATTACATTTTTACACTTTTTGGCCCAACCGATAAAACTTTATTGATATTTATAGAAAAAAAATTGAAAGCTGTAAATGTCCGTAAACAGCCGAAAAAGAGTCAAAATATTTTCAAAATTGTATGGTGTATAGGAAATGCTAATATAAACTTTCAGTGAAATTTTCATGTATCTACAGTTATTCGTTTTTGTATTACAACAAAATAAGGAAATCGCTACATGAGAAATCGAGTGAATATCCAATCCAATGTTGTAAAAATTTGAATTTCAGACGCTCATAAAAAATTTAATTTGACTTTCTTATAGACATTTTTTTTTTGATAAATGTAGATAATCTTATAAGGAATCTTGTATTACATTTTCAAATCTTAGACTTAAAAAGAAAAAGTTGTATGAATTCTTAACTCAAAATAATTTGCTAATTTTCGTGATTTTTCCATATTTTGTCAATTTTTGAACTTTAAATGCTTATAAAAAAAAATTGTGACTAAGGTTTTTAATATTTTTCATCTGCCTTTGAAACAATATACTAGGAGCCTTATATTAAATTTTCAAGCTTTCGCAACCAACAAAAAAAATTTTATTGATATTTTTAAGAAAAAAACTAAAAAAAAATGGAAAATGAAAATGTCCCTAAATAGTTCAAAATAAATCAAAATATTTTGAAAATGTTATCGTGTATAGAAAATGCAAATATAAACAACCAGTGAAAATTTCATGTATATATACGTTCATTTGTTTTAGAGTTACACCAAAAACCAAAACCAATTTTTTGGAAAACCAATTTTGCGTAAAAATTCCCGTTTTTCCTTAATTTTTATGTTTTTTTTCACGGTGCTTTTGAAAACTATTGGGAAATTTTTACTTTTGACCCCCCAAAGTACCAACTAGATTCACTTTCCTATCAGAAAAGATACTGTTGTAGAAAATCCAAGCACTTTTACTGTCCTAAAACGTGATGACAGACACACAAAAAAAAATTAAAACAATTAAAAATTAAAAAATAAACACACATCATTGTAAAATCAATACATTCATCGTTTCACTCAGAATCTAATACATATTATTCAATACGGCTATACTTACCTAAACTAAATTGTAATAATAATTTCTTAAAATGAAAATTTACTTTTATGATTTTATGCAGAAATTGTTGAAAAAATACTGTAAGGTGCAAAGCGGATTGCAGTAAAGTACTCAAATGTTGAACATATTATAATAATAGATAATCAAATAAATGTTTTAAGAATATAGCTCTTGCCCCTTCTATAATACGGGCATACGACAATAGGTAGGTACGCTGAAAGCTTTTCCAAACAAAGAACAGAAAAAAACAATAACTATAGAGATAATAAATATTTATATTATTAATTATAGTATATTATACTCCTACAATCCTCGAGTATCCTCAAAATATTATTCCTTCGTCGGATGGATAACGATTTACTTTGTACTATGGCTAAATTTAGATATCATTTTCCAAATAACTGATGATAGATTTATAGATTTATAATTTGTTAATATAAAATGTCAATGTGTTTCACGGTATTAAGATGATAATTAAAAATCGCGGGGCCCTTTAACAAGCGCGGGGCCCTGGACGGCTACAACTCATTTGCGCGCATTTACCTTTTTTACAACTCATTTGCGCACAAAAACATAACTCATTTGCGCACATTTTACGAACAATAGAAACCTTTTTTCCAAGAATTTTATCCACGTATAGGGTGTACATAATCTCCGTACCACCATATTTTCGATTTGGTCAATACTGATAGTGGACAATTATTATACTCAAACAACATTTTCCTTCACCCTTTAAAAGGCTTAGGACTTTCTGTCTCATCATATTCTGATGTTATAGACTGGCGGGCTTAAAAATGTTGTTTTAGCTATTACACATTATTCAAAATGTTGTCAAATTACAATAAATTAGGTACAATAATTTTTACAAGTCATTAAAATTTTGTCAAATTACAATAAATTAGGTACAATTATTTTTACAAGTCATTAAAATTTACAAATTACAATAAATTAGGTACAATCATTATTAATTTTTACAAAAGTCATTAAAATTTACAATCTACATAAATTACAGTTAATACATAATATTTAATATTTATTGGTAGGTACGCGTTTGCATCAAATAGGTTATAAATCAATTTTTTTAGATTTGTAATCTGAATATATTTTTTTCAAAAAATTTTGTTTTGTTAATATTTCTGTCCTACGTGTGTTTTCCTTATTTTTTTTAATGAGTTTATTTTTAAATCGGTGTCGACTTGAATTTCCATGAGTATTTGTATGATTTGGTGAATATGAGGGTGGGGGGTATAAAATTGGCTATTAAAGTGCATATGAAAGTTTTCAGCTCCGTTTGTTGTTCTAGGGCTATCGTCTGGTGCACTAGCCCATAATTCTGTCCCAAAATCAGCATCAAAATCAGTACTTATAATTTTTTAAAATATAGTCCGGAAAATCCATACTTAATATATTACTAGGAGCTATTTAGATTAGCTCCGTAAATGCGTCCGGAACTTCATCAGAGTTTAGATAAGGTAAACCAAAAAAATATTTAAGCCACCTTCCGATTTCCGAATCATTTTTTGAGTATTCTTTTAGTAATGTTTTATTTTTTTTTTCAAACGCCTGAATCAACACGCTTGTCCCACACGACTAGTGTACTTGGCGAGTATTAATGCCATTTTTGATAGATAATAACTGATGTGAAATCACGTTATGCTTTAAGACTATATAAGGCTATATTGAAGAGACTCCAATAACGGGTGATCATTGATATCAATAATATTGAACGTGTAACGTGTTGGACAGCTTAAGACACCCTGTACACCCAAAACTGTACCTAAAAGCTGGTTTTCATTGTTTACTATTTTGTGCGCAAAGAGTTGTCGTAAATTTAAAAAATATATTAATATGTGCGCAAATGAGTCTCCACCGCCCTGGACATGTGTCCCATTTGTCCCCCCCCCCTAGCGCTGGCACTGAGAAAAATATCTAAATTTTTGTTTTCAAAATGACCAAAATTAGGTGCTTTTTCACTCCAGTTTTAAAATTAAAATTATAAGTTTATTAGAAATATAATTAGGTACCTACTTGAAACATAATAAGTATAGTTCTATCACATCGATTATTATCGTGGTCTGTTTTTAAACGTAACAAAAAACCTGTTACAAAAATACAATGATTGTGTTGTACACGGCGACCTTCACCGTCTATTTTTGTTTCGGTTCCATAATTCGTTTTTGAACTTTATTTGCAATAAACGTTAAATTAAGTTATGTTCAACAAACGGTTATAGATATACATTTAAACATTTTATCAATTGTGGTAAATACAGACTTTATTTATAAAGAATTAATTACATTATTATTATGAAATAATTAAACCTATATTTTATTTTTATTTTGCTAGTTTGTTCAGTATTATTTTCAATGCTTATAAAAAAATGTGATTTATAATTTTTTTGTAATGGAAATATGTACAACTTATGAATACCCTTGTATTCAATCTTATTTGGCCGGCCAAATTTATTTTATCGACATTTCAAAAAAAAAAAAATAAGAAAAATCGAAAATGTCAACTGTCCATAAATCGCTCAAAAAACCTCAACATTTTTCAAAAGTTATATCATGTATAGGTGACGCAAATAAAAACATTTGGTGAAAATTTCAAGTATCTATACATGTTTTAGGTTTTGAGAAACAGCAAAATAAAAAAATCAATTTTGCCGAAAACTAGTTTTGCGTAAAAATACACGTTTTTCCCTAATTTTTATTTTGGTTTTTCCTGGCGAATTTGAAAACTACTGAAATTTTTACTTTTCAGTACAGAACAAGATTTAATATATTATACAATATACATAATATACTCATAGTTATATATAAACTGTTATGACTATTGGGGAAAATGTCATGGGGGGTCTATCCCCATCACCCCCCCCCCATAGTTTGACCACCATTGTAGATATAACGTTATAAATTGTTCAAGTTCTTGAATGATAGAACTAATAAACATAAGTTGTTAAGTTATTCGTTCTTGTAGGTATATTTATTCAGAAGAACGTTTTAAAGTTATATATGCGTTCTTGAATATTTAATCAGAAGAACATTTTAAAGATTGTTGAATTGCTATATGTGAACGTTTGCAAGACGGAGAAAATTAATGCAACGCTACACTGTTGTATAGTAGTATATTATTAAATATTTTGTTCTTTCACATTTCAGTTTTTCACTTATGTCTGACCTGTATCTCTTACCTTAAAAAACTTTGTATCGATATAAAAATAAAAATGCCATGATTATAATATCATATTTAATTAAAACTATTTGTTTATCTATGTACTGTATCGAAAATAAATATATTTAATTTAACAACTTTTTTTTACTATCATAGAATAAATTACATAATTAAATAGGCAATTGAACGGAACCTTGTACCACGTGCCGGACGTCACCTCCATGTACGGAATGCCGGACGACCAAACCTCCGCAGGTATTGGTAGTGTTGAAATTGGACTAGCCACACGTGCCTAACGTGCCAGTTAGGTTAGGTTAGGTTAGGTTAGGCAAGCCTAACGTGGCTAGTTCAATTTCAACACGTACGACCAAAACCGGCGGAGGTTTGGTCGTCCGGCATTCCATACATGGAGGTGACGTCCTGCACGTGGTACATGGTGGTAAAGTCCGGCAAGTAGTACAAAGAGGAGGGGTAGTCTTGCACGTGGTACAAGGAGCCAGTGTAGTCCGGCATGTGGTGCATGGAGGCAGCGTAGTCCAGCACGTGGTACATGGTGGTAAAGACCGGCAAGTGGTACAAAGAGGCGGGGTAGTCTTGCACGTGGTACAAGGAGCCAGTGTAGTCCGGTATATGGTGCATGGAGGCAGCGTAGTCCAGCACGTGGTACATGGTGGTAAAGACCGGCAAGTGGTACAAAGAGGCGGGGTAGTCTTGCACGTGGTACAAGGAGCCAGTGTAGTCCGGCATGTGGTGCACGGAGGCAGCGTAGTCCGGCCCGTGGTACATAGCGGCTGCGTCCGGAATTTCATGCACTGAGGCATAGTGCGTCGGGGTGGACAATTCGTCGACGCTGATGGACGGTATCCTGTTACCTTTGGACAGCCAACGTGAGGTGGCCGGTATCCGTTTACCTGCGGAAAGTCGATGTACGGTGAACAGCGTCGGCTGGTCACTTGCGAACCGACTACGTGCGAATGAAGTTGTCCGGATACATGTGAACAGTCGCAGATCGGTGGTGGCTTTGACGATCGAACTTTTGAACCAGCGACCATATACTCAGTTCCTCTCGAAAGTCGCGACACTGCGGGGTCGGATTTCTTCCACGGATCCAGGGGGACTTGACTCAAAACCACAAGCCCACCCAACGACTCCGAAAACATGCAAAAACATAGACATAATATCGTTACCGAATACATAATCTTAACTCAAAAATAATATGACTCGAGTCAAAACGAGAACAGATATCGAATGGTCGGAAAATAATTATAACAATGTTTATTATTACGTGTTTATGGTATTTTACTAAGTAATAAATATACTTAAAAGCTCGTTGACAACCGTCGGCGGTGTTAATGTTGAGCCATATTTCTTTATTTTTTTTATATATATTAGATATAGGTAGCCGTTATTCGTGGCAATAATATTATTATACACTTCAAAGGTTTAAAAATTGGTATTTTTTATATTACACTATACCCGACTTCGGCCGGGAAAAAACGAACAATTATACTCTACGAGGTGCATTTTGTTTTGAGTTTACCTCAGTTCACAGACAAGTCGTTGTGTTGTTGTGCCTCGCTTTGTGGACAAATCCGACCGAGTTGAACAATCCACCTGAGTTATTGGAGACTATTGGAGTGTTTTGGTTTAATTGCATTAACTTCAAGAGAGTAAATTAGCTTAGATCTCTATAAACTCGAGAATGATAAACAAACAGAATACAATTTTTAAAAAATCACTTTTTCTGGCCTTAGACATCCAAGTTATAAATAAAACAGTTGTTGCCGGATGTTTGCTTATTTTTGTTTATTTTTTGGTGACATAATCTGAGAGAAACACAAAGTATTGTATCACACGTTTCAAGTACTACGAACATATTATTGTGCGAGCCGCACTATAAAATATATTGATTCAATTTCGAAATAAAAAAAAACAAATTACTCTTCACTAATCTCTTCAAATCTATCGCTATAACTAGTAGTTTCGATTACAAACTCAATCAAATAAAGTTACATAAACATATATTTAGATTTTAACAAGACCCCGGAATTGAAAAGGATGTATTAAATAAGTATTTAGTTATGTACTAAGGAAAGCAAATAATATGCACTTATAAATAACAAACAATAGGTATTAGCATTGATTATAAATACTAGTATTATATAGTATTTATAATCAATGGTATTAGGTATAGACTAATTATTATTTAGTGTTAATAGTATTACTTATTAGTTATGTTAATATATTGTAAATTATGTTATTTTTTTAAACAAAATATTTTAATACGAATATTCAAAAGCCACGCAGTAGGTAAACCCATATGCTCAAAAAGGGGGGGGGGGCTTTAGATTCAAAGCCCCCCAATCATTTCCTACATTTTGTTTTAAGTATATTCAATATTATCAAAGTAAGGCTTTAGCCCCCTCCCCCCAAATCTCAAACGCTATTTGCGCTTATGGGTGAAGGGGTCACCAAAAAAACGGAAGTGTGGTAACACCGGTGAACGTTAAAAAACTTATGTTCAGAGTGGCCATTGACGAAATATCGGTGGAAGAATTTTTAATTGATATTAGTAAAAAATATTAGTTTAAATTATATTTATATAATTATATTAATTATTAATATTTATTAATCAAGACATTTTTTTATGAAACAATAAATCAAACTGGACTTTTTTTCCGACTCCCAGGTTTAATATAATGGCTCACTATTATCGACTAAATTTCTTAAAAAAAAATATTATAAAACTTTTTCTCTTAAACTATTTAAATTCCCTATACTTAAAAATAAATTAACGAAAAAAAGAACAATTAATAAAATCGTTCATGATTCCAATATGTTCCTCCACATGAAAAAGGAACTACGTTCAGTGGCGTCATTTGGGGGAGGGCAACTGGGGCATTTACCCCAGTCTAGTATTTACATCAACCTTAAGTCGGCACATTTACCACACGCCCCCCCCCCCCTCGTTATTACCTCTATGGCACTATGCTATAAGAATCTGAGTGAAAAAAATGTTGAGTCTGAAAAGCAGTGAAAAATTGCCCTAGTCTATTAAAAACTGAAATGACGCCACTTACTACGTTCCCGTTAAGTTCTTGAAAAATTAACGTAATCACTGAAACTAGTTCCTCTTTCCAAGCACTGATAATGCCTTCATTTCAAATGTATTAATAATAGCTGGTAAATACAATGTTAATTATTAGATTACTGGCCAAATTATTATGCTATACCTATTTTTGCCGTTACTTAAGTGATGAATAACTTCATTGAATTTTTTTGGAATGAGATAATATATATTTTATTATTATCAATTTTTATTTTGTCGTTTATTTTTTTGATTAAAATTAATATAATTATTTACTAGCTTATAATTTGTACAACATAATAGTAGGTGCCTAATATTGAAAATCAAATCAATCAACAACATGCCATTGACGAATATTTCTTTGAACACACCAGATTTAAATCGTTTGCATCCTATAATTATATTCACAAGACCTATTCAAGACGGAGTGTTGAACCGTAGTACATTGATCAAAGGACTGACTAACATGATAAGACACAAGGAGATTGAGAATTATTTCTGTTTTACTGAACTCGCTCTAAATAATTTGGTAAAATAAATATTTAATTTCAATATGACATTATACCGCAAAGGAATAGTTTCTTTACTGACACAATCAAAATGTAGGTATGCACCGAATTTTTCTGAGCACTTGTGGGTCCATTATGAACCGTCCATACTTCGTTAATATTGTGTCGACAATTACGAAACATTTTTCAAAGTTATGTTACTATAATTTATGATAATTCACAAAGCGAAACTATAGCAAAATTGTTATTTTTCGATAATTTTTCAATATTTTATTCTAGATTAGATAAATATACTTATAATACCTACATTATTAATTGTACAGTCAAATGGGGGGGACTACACCCACTTGTTTTGCCACTGTTTACTTACAGTTACATAAATGTTTTTTAGGATTTAGAAAACATCGACATCATCGGTGATTATATATCTTTAAAAAAGTTGGAGATACATCATAATGTCATACAAGATTTGAGCGCTTTAAGTAGTCTTAACGAGTTGGAGTACTTAGACGTGTCCCACAATTGTTTGAAACAAATATTAAACTTCAGACCACCGAAGATGTTATACCATGCCGATTACTCGAACAACAATATCGAAGATATGGACGATTTGTCTAATTTTTGGAGTATAGCATACTTAGATCTATCGTACAATTCCATCAAACACGTAAACGGGCTATCGGAATTAAAGTGAGAAACGCTTATTATATGTGCGATGTAAATAAAAATCAATACCTAGGTACCGTCAAACTGGTAAACTTGGAGCTTAATAAAAACTAATATGTGTTAAATAATAATACATATAGGTATTAGTATCAAAGTTTGGGAAAAACAGGTTTTAAATATAGTGCATTAACTGCATGTTATTAATTATTATCATCTATAATATTATTAAATAATCTTCCCCAAAATAAAATTGCTTTTGAGATTATTCATCTCAAGTAAGAAATAATAGTAGGTAGGTAGGTATATTTGTATTCCGGTTCGTCATGCAATCACTTACTAATAATATTAAAACTTAATTGTTTTAATTTTGTCACGTTGTAATTAGGTATATATTATATTTAATTTTTATATATTATTCTTAAAGAAGTAGCTAGGTAATTAATATTTAAAATCTATTATCTAGGTTTTTGTTACCTACCTACTTAGTAAAATAATCTAAATATAATATACATAATATGTTAATTGGTATTCCTTCATTTCTAATTTTGATTTTAAAACTTCTCCAAGTAACCTCGTTTGGTGGTATTTCACTATTTCAGTATTGTGTTCTGTATAGTATATACGTATCTATACCTACTAATAGTTTTACTAATTGAGAGTGTACCTACCAATTTATTTATATAGTCATTTGATATTCCTGAATTTGTCTCACAATGGTATAAAACATATACATTATTCACTACCATGTTCCTTGATGGAAATAAACTTGTCTTACAACGATTTAGAAACTATACAATTGGACATGTCCTCAAGTATGTGTGAAATACTCGACTTGTCACATAACAAACTAAAGTTGCTTGATTTTCTAAAAGTAAGTAGGTATAATAAATAATTAACTAGTTTTAAATCTTAGTACATAATATATACCTTAATACCTACCTATATATTAAATTGGCTATAATAAGTAATATATAGTATATAGGTACCTATATTACTTACCGCCTACTTATCTAGAGTAATTATATAGGTTTAGGTGACAATAGGATTAAAATAGGTAAAATAGGTATATAATATAAAATTTAAATCCATCGAGGCTATTTCGAATATCTATTTTTTCAGCTGTGATATCCATGAATAAAAATATGATATTTTTGTATTTATATATCACTTTAATACGCATTATATGACGCTAACAATAGTTGGAATATTAAAAAATGCCTCTATGGAACCCTAGCAAATTTTTGATCAATCATAAACCGTTTTCAAAATTAAATCTCGTCAAACTAAACTTTTCCAATTTTGTCTGGCTTTTTTGTTTAAAAGTCACTTTTTTTTCATTAACTGGAGCCCCCTTAAAACTAGTATTAATAATTATACACCGCGGAAAAAACAAAACAGTTGTTTGTACTATAAAAATAATTAGTAGGATTGACTGTACATTACAATTGCTATAATAGGTTAGTCAGATTTACTAAAATATCATAGTCAAGTTATTATTAGAATAACTTAAATATGCTATTTTAACTATATTTTTTAATTAATTCAAACATTAAAAACTTCGTTAACTATAAAATATAGTAAACATTACCATAAAAACTAACTATATTTATATAGTTATAATATGTAAATCATTTTAGTTATTTTACCTATTAAATAGTTATATCTACTATAATTTGTTCAACTATAATATTATAGTAATTTTTTTCCGTGTACATGGAAGCGGTTTAGAGTTAAAATCCTGCACTAAAATGTTATTGAAGAGACGAAGAGTATTATAATTTATAATACAATTTTTTAATATATACATGCGATTGTTAAGTATTTAATATAATTTGTAATATATGTACAAACAAATTTTAATTATGTACGCAATACCCATCTACTTCAAAGTAGATAGGTATACATATATATTAAAAGATATAACTAATTTTTTATGAATCCCTATAACGAAATACTTTTTTATATAAATGCCAGTGCTGAGTGCAGGCTGGTATTCCCAATCGTTCAAAATTATTTGTAACATTCAATTTTATATATAGGAACTGATCTGATCATAATAATATTACCTACTTATATTTTTAAAAATAAATTTTAGAATGCCAAACAGTTGTCCGTATTGAATTTACAAGCTAATATGATCGACGATGTACTGCAAGTAGAATACATAAAGACGCTTACAAATCTTCGCCTTTTAAATGTCGAAAACAATGATTTTCTCAAATTAAATATTCACAAACAATTGATATTTTCAAACAATTTGCCATTAAAAGCAACCATTGATCAAACATTTATAAAAATTGATGACCTGCAGGTAAACAGAGTACCTACTACCTACCTATATTGAGGCTATATTTTACTTTCATTTTTATTTTGATACGTGTTCGGCAACGGCTGTAGACTGTAATGATGTATTCACAAGCAGATGTATATTGAGCATATCTTAATAAATAATATGCTTTAGGTAGCAGGTTTACAGTTTTCCACAAAATCGATTTTGGTTTTTGGTGTAACTCGAAAACAAATGAACATTTGGACTGGTTGTTTATATTTTCATTTTCTATACACAATAAAATTTTCAAAATATTTTTATTTTGTTTTGAACTGTTTAGGAACATTTTCAGTTTCCAATTTTATTAGTCTTTTTTTCATGAATGTAACTAAAACTTTATTTGTTGGGTAAAAAAGTTTGAACATTTAGTACAAGGCTCCTACTACATTATTACAATGGAATTTGAAAAAAATTAAATATCCATAGTCACAATTTTTTTTTTTATAAGCATTTAAAGTTCAAATCTTGACAAAATACGGAAAATTCACGAAAATTAACAAATTATTTGGAGTTTAGAATTCAAAAAAATTTTTCTTTTTAAATCTAAGATTTGAAAATGTAATACAAGATTATTCATAAGTTGGTCTACCCTTATCAAAAAAAAAAAAAAAATGACTACAAGGAAATCAAATTAAATATTTATAATTTTGAAAATATTTTGACTCTTTTTGAGCTGTTTACGGACTTCGTCAGTTTTCAATTTTTTTAGTTTTTTTTTCTATAAATATCATTAAAATTTTATTTGTTGGGTAAAAATGCGTGAAAATGTAATGCAAGGCTCCTGATATATTGTTACAATAGCTGCACTTGAAAAATATTATAAAGACATATGCACAATTTTTTTGATAAGCATTTAAAGTTTGAATTTTGACAAGATTTATCAAATTTAAAATTTTATAATTATTTTGTAGTTAAAAATTTATAAAATGTTCAAATTTTATAGCTAAGAATTGAATATTTAAAACAAGGTTCCACGTAAATAGGTTATATATTATGTAAATTACTTTAGGTATTCATAATAATATCATCAAATATACTTGGTAATATACTAATATCATAGGCTGACTGACCGTTTTCGCTCAGAATCGTTTTTCTTATACAATGATATTATATTATTGAATTCAAATTTAAGAACATCCATTATAGTGACCCACTTGTAACCTACCGTACAGCAGAGCAACATCCACTTACACACTTTTTTTTTAAATTTGTATGCACAAAATAATTTACTAATAATATGTGTTTTGTTTAATACATTCAAATAGGAGTTAAATGAAATGGAAATTCATTCATTGCTTATGGCAGAAAAGAATGTATTAAAATCTACTGTTTTAGAACATTTATCTGCAGGAAGATTGTCTTTAGGTGCAGTAAATTACTGTGGATACAATTACCGACTACTTCCGATGGTAATTTTGGTGGGTCCACCAAAAACTTACAAGAAAGAGCTTTTGAATACGATATTTAGGAAACACGCTGATAAATTTTATGCAGCAATTATTTATACGACGAACGAAATTTGTAAAAATAGAACATTAAAAACAATTTCAGTTGCAGAGTTCAATAAAATGAATTCTACCGGAGAATTTGTGTTTAGCTACCGATTTTTAGGAAATTCTTATGGTTTAAGTTAGTAATTACGTGATAGTTGTACAAATATATTACTGCACCTACCTACCTACTTACTGATTTAATAAATAATAATTCATATACAGTAGAGTCTCGCGAGTACTTTAGTACGAAATATATGTATAATGTATATATTCGGGAATACCCATGATTAAGATACTATCGTTTCGATTACATATGAATAATTTACAATTGTAAATCAATAAAATACATATTTTGAATTTGTATAAATACATAAAGTGTTTTTTGTTTATATTTATTAGTAAGTTTAAAAAAAACGTCATTCCGTTTAATCCTGATTTTCGATAATCCCGATAGAGTGCGGTCCCAGCAAGTCCGGATTAGTGAGACTCTACTGTAATATTATAATTTATAACTATAATTGCATAAATATTGTAGGCAAAGATCAATTATCCAAATGTACTGATGAAAATAAGGTACTAATCACGTTCTCAAATTTAGAAGGCGCGTTAATTTTAAAAAATAAAGGCTACAATCCAACATTCGTGTTGGTATTACCAGAAGACAAGTTATCATACAAAATACATATATACGAGAGTATACAAAAATATTATATGAATCAAAACCGATCAATAAATGAAAATGTAAAATAAAAAAGAACTAAAAATACTTTTACTTAGCTAGGTACATTATATTATAATTGTGGCTTTGATTTGTATGTATAACAGAAGTCAGCACTAAATAAAGGAACAGATGGACAATATTTTAATGAAACGGATAATAACAGTAGCAGTAGGTATGACCAGCACAGTTTTCGATGAGTTTAATTAACTTATTAGTAGTTGTAGTACATATCGATGGCGTAGCGCACAAGTGTGATAAGTGACATTTTCGTAATTGTTCAGGAGAACGATTTTTAAGTTTGAGATGTCATAACAAATTCAAAAATGTAACGAACTGTACGACGTCTATCGGAGTAAATAATGAACTATTCACTTACAACGTTTGGGCATAATGTGCAGAATTGTATGATTAAATTGATTATGCACTTAACTCATTTTTCAAAAAAATGTCACTTATCACACTTGTGCGCTACGCCATCGATATTATCTACTAGCTAAAATAGAATTACTAAATTACCTATGTATTTTAAACATAGTTAAAGCTCCAAATTATGACTTATAACTCCATTTTAGCCCAAACCCTGATGGTTTCTCGATACAATCAAATACTGCTGCTGCAGTTTGTTCGTTGGAAACTAACACGAATGCTGCTGAAGAAAGTGAAACAATTGCATACAGAAATAATGATATTAAAGACGATTTCAACGATCCGGTTTTCAATGATCCTTGTACAATATTTACTAATGAATGTATGAACAATCTTAATATATATCACAACCTATATGAAAAAAGCTTGGACGTATTTCATTCTTTGGTAAATTTACATATAAACTTTTTACATAATTTTAAAACGGTAGTGAAAAACCACATTTTTGAAAAAAAAAATTTATTTACTACCTACCTAATTTCTTGATTATAACTAGTGTTTGAAGGAATGACGACAAACATATTTTAATTTTATACTCCAAAGTAGAATATTATATAGGTACCTATCAAAATACTCTGAATAATATTTTCAGAATATGTGTAAAATGTGTGATGTTTTATTATACACAGCAGAAAAAACATAATGAATTTAAAAAATATTAATTTTCTTCAAATTTTCTGTTTTGTAACTTCTTAAAATGATATAATAGAATTAATGTTTTTAACATTTTAATACATTTTGAAATAATAATTCAGCTATAAATTAATCACCCGACACCCAGTATATATTTAAAAACCTCTTTGATTTATAAGGCGAAATCTCGTTTTTAGGTTTTCATTGATAACTTTCAAAATGCGACAAGAGAAGTAATGACGATTATGATTGACGTTTATAATAAATTCCAAACTAATCAAAAGACAAAAATCCAAAAACAACCAAACAAACATACGCGTGAGCATTTACAAGTTCGTCACAAACTGTTATGTAATGAACTTTACCAATGAAAATATTACCATATTTGTTGTACTGTTGAACATATAAAAATCGTATACATTTGTTCAACAACATAATATTAAACTAGATTATGTTTAAACTAAAAATATATTTATACACCTACCTATAAATCTATAACAGCTGGTACTTCATGCCTTCATGAATCATAATAATTCGTGGTTCTTAATTCGTGGTACCTACTGGTGATAATCATATGACACTGACTGTGGTAACTTTGCAATTATCGCTGCGACGACACACTATTCATTCTATTTTATTTATATAATTATTGGGGATTTTGTTAGGAACACTAGAAAAGAAGGGACTAATAACTAACTAAACGCGTTAAATTAATAGCTCTAATTACTGTCAGGACTTTATTTATTACGACTTCAAATAAGAACACATTTAAACAAAAGAAATCACTAATTAAGACACTTTAAACTTTATTATTACAACTACGTCGGCCAAACGTCGGCCAATGCTGGATCAGTTGGAATCCGAACGGCGATTCGCTGACCCAGGAGCACTGCGTCGTAACGTCGACCGCACGGAACTGTCCGCAGTGTCACACACTTGCACACTCGTGCGCCACAACTGACAAGCGTCTAGTGACAGGGAATCCGAATGGCTGCAAGATGGCCGACTTCGTTATCATTATCAGTTATCACAGATTTTATTATCACTTAATTCTCAAAATAATATATTTCTTTCCTTTAGCTTATTTCTACCCAGTACCCAAGTCTTTTTCTTTTAAGTTTATTATATTATAGTGACAGTAAAGTATCTAATTACTTTATTTTATTTTAAATATTGAACAGGTAAAATGAACTCAGTATATCAAATACTTCTGAAAATAATCGTGTTAGGTTATGAATTTTTACTAATTGTTAAAAAACTTGTCTGTTTAATTAAATGTATAATACTTTGAAAGTTTACACCACTACTTGAGTTTAAATGTTTTCTTGATGTACTAACCTGGAATATTGTTTTAATCTTATTTTTTTTTTCTTTTTTTTTATGGTTTTCATTAATTATGTTATGGAGGCCTATGAATGTCACTCTCAGGATATATGGATTTTTCTATGTTTGCGGATGAATGAGGATTAATGGTGTGCAATTCGGATCACGCCCATGTTTTTCAGGAGTTCCTCAGGCCGGTTTCTTTTCCTTGTCACCACTCCTATTTTATTTTATTTGTATTATAAATGTATTGTAATTATTTTACTATTACTATTTTGTTTTCAATGTAAATTTTTATGTCTGTTTAAGTGTTTTCATAATTGAATTGGGGCAACCTGTATATATATATAATAATAATTAATATAAATATCTAATTATTATTCTCATTTGTATATTAAAAATTTCTTGGTTGTGTTATTTGAATATGTATTGTAGAAATGTTTATGGTATTATAAGTATTTAATTAAATAAAAAAATCACAAAAAAAGATGTCTATTTATTAACAAATTCAAAAATTATAATTATTTGTGTAAATACAATAAATATGCATCAGTATTTTATTTTGTTCAATTAGGTTTTTTAAGAACATGTCAGACATAAACGAATTCGAATGCATAGAGTGTGCAAAAAAGTTTAAATTTTTAAAAAACCTAAGAGCCCATATAAAAGTAAATCACCCTCTTTTAGAGTTGGATGAAATAGCACCAACAAAAAAACAGAAAAATAGTGATTTATATATATATACTTGTGACCAATGTACTAAGTCATATTGTCATCAAAAAAATTTGACTGAACACAAAAAAGTTGCTCATCCAATTTCTCCAGCAATTGAAATCGTAGTCCAGTGTGCCATGTGTTCATTTACTGCCACATACAAAATTATGAATATACACTATGAAAAAGATCATAATATTTTACAAAATGTAGATAGTTTTGAATTTGAAACCATTGATGATTTTAACAATTGGAAACGTGAAATTGAACTATCAACTCAGTCATTGTATGTTAAAAACTACGGTTCCTCTGTAAAAGGAAATCAAATTTACAGTTATTACAAATGCCACAGAAGTGGCTTCTATAATTCACTTAGTACAGGTCAACGTCATTTAAAAACACAGGGTTCTAACAAAATAAATGGGTACTGTCCAGCTAGTATTAATGTTATAGAGTCAAATGTTACCAAAAAATGTACCGCTAAATTTAATGGCAATCATATAGGTCATGAAAATGAAATAGGACACTTGCCTTTAAATAAATGTACCAGAGATGATATAGCATCTAAAATATCACAAAACATTCCGTTTGAAAAAATTTTGGACGAAATTCGTGATAATATTGCCAACAATCATTTAGAAAGAACTCATTTACTTACTAAGAAAGATTTGTATAATATTGAAGCTTCATACAATCTTAACAATGAGGCAGTATATCATTCTAATGATGCTACAAGTGTTGGAGCATGGGTGGAAAAACTAAAATCTGATGACAAATTAAGCCTCGTTTACTACAAGTCACAAGGTCAAATCGACACTAATTATATCCAACTTAAAGAAGATGACTTTTTATTGCTCATAATGAACGACCATCAAAAATCCATGTTAAGCAAATTTGGAAAAGATGTTATTTGTATTGATGAAACGCATGGGATGAATTCGTATCATTTTAATTTGACAACAATCATGGTTCTTGATGATTTAAGAGAAGGATTCCCATGCTGTTTTATGATAAGTAATAGAGTTGATGAAGTGGTATTAAGAATATTTTTTTCTAAGATAAGGGACAAAACTGGTATTATTCAGCCCAATGTCTTCATGTCAGATATGGCTGAAAGTTTTTATAACGCTTGGGTTGTTGAAATGGAACCACCGAAACATAGGCTCTATTGTACTTGGCATGTAGATCGTGCCTGGAGAAAAAATTTAAATAAAATTAAAAACAAGACAAAACAGGTAGAAATATATAAAGTATTACGAACATTACTTGTAGAACAAGATGCTGAGGCCTTTAGTAGAATGTTCGACAATGCTATAAATCGAATGGCAAAAGATGACGAAACTATTGATTTCTCAAACTATTTTACTAGTTATTATGCTTCATCTGTGCTGTCATGGGCTTATTGCCACAGAATACATGCTGGAATTAACACAAATATGCATATTGAAAGAATGCATCGGACTCTAAAGCACATTTACTTACAAGGCAAAAAAGTGAAGCGTCTTGATAAATCTCTGCATGCCTTAATGAAATATACTAGAGACAAATCTATTGATAGGCTTATTGTGTTACATAAAGGTAAAATATGCTCAAAAGTAAAGGAGTTGCGCAAAAGGCATAAGACAAGTCTTTTAATGTCTCTAGAAATGGTGCTTGAAAATGTTGATCACAATAATTGGAATGTGTTATCAGGAAAAACTAGTGAAATGTATGAGGTGAACAATCTCAAATCCAACTGTGACTGCCAAATAAATTGTTCTGATTGTCAGTCATGCATACATTGCTACTCATGTTCCTGCATAGATAGTGCAATAAAATGGAACATGTGTAAACACATACATTTAGTCTGTCAATACCTGAAAAGAAAGAATAATGAAAATATAATTACTAATAACACACTCACAAATTTGGAACATACCAATGAAACAACTATCATTGTGTCACAGTTAAATAATTCAACCAAACCATCAAACGATCTAGCTAATGAAAAAGATAAAGTAAGATTATATTTTAATAATATTTTAGATGGGATTTCTAGTTCAGAAGAACTGGGCATTTTAAAAAAATGTCTTACTTCGGTTACACCTACTTTAAATGCGTTAAGAAGTAATGCTGATAGTCAACCATTTAAAAGTTTGACACCGTCTCATTGCCAAACATCACCAAACAAATTAAAAATAACTCCTCAACGCCGTTTTCATTCCACTAAATCTAAAAGAAATGTAAAAAAAACCACATTAAACATTGAGGTACCAAACCAAGTAGAGCAAAATTTTATAGCTGCATCTCTATTATTGGATGTGGACCAAAATGAAGACCTACCCCAATATAATTAAACACCGACTGATTTTATAACAAAATTATTATTTTTATTTTATTATTACTTATTTCACAATTATTATTTTATGCATTTTATTAACTTATTAATTATAATCATATTGACTATTGTACTGGCATTTCACAACATTATTTTTTTATAATTATATCTTATTTTACAACAAATTATTATTAACTAGGTAACTATTATGAATTTAACTAATATATTATTGTTACTATAAATTTTAATCATATTGACTATTGTACTCGCGTCTCACAACATTATTTTTTTATAATTATATCTTATTTTACAACAAATTATTATTAACTAGGTAACTATTATGAATTTAACTAATATATTATTGTTACTATAAATGTTAATCATATTGAATATTGTACTCACAAAATTATACTTTTTTATTATACAATATTATGTGGACATGTGGTCAGACAAGGAGCAGAGATACCGTATAAAGTAGGACCAACATACAACAATTATAACTTATTTGAAAACTAATTATTACTTATTATTTACTAATTATAGCTATTATGAATTATATGAATTTACATATTACCTACCATTTATATATCCATTTCAATATTTGATATTTCATTGTGCATTATAAAATTTACTATAGAATATCAATGTGTGTATAGTACTGTTCTATATTTCTATTTTCTTAACCTAAGATTTATTATCAAATAATCAATGTTAATTAATAATTAACTGGAATATCATCATTTTCAAAGACAATTCAGTTAGAATCACAGATATATACAATATTGTACGTTTATACGTTATTGTATATATCTGTGGTTAGAATACAACTTGGGTAGAAATAAGGTTAAGGAAAGAAATATATTATTTTAAGAATTAAGTGATAATAAAATCTGTGATAACTGATAATGATAACGAAGTCGGCCATCTTGCAGCCATTCGGATTCCCTGTCACTAGACGCTTGTCCACAACTGCCGTGACGGTAGTGGCGAGCGGTGCCAGTGTGTCACACTTTACAATTAATTAATAAAAAGGCGCTAACATTCGGCCATTCTACCCTTAGGATCGCCCTCGATCCGGGTCGATAGCATGATAATAAGAGAAAAAATAAAAATAAAAAAAATAATCCAAATTACGAACATAATAATAAACATAATAATTAACATAGTGGTAATATTACAAATGTAATGAATATAATAACAAACATAATAATTTAATAAAACCCCGTCCGTGAGCTGATAATCTCTCACCAATCCCTTTTCGGCGACGGTCAATTTCGTGTCAGTCTGTAGTAAATTGATGAGTAGTTTTGTTTTTTCGTCAGACTGCTGCATAAACCTAACGCGGTCTGTTGGTGATAGTGCGACGAAGACGTCCAGTCTCTTCGACAGGTCGGTCTCTACCGAGCTGACGTCGCCCTGTTCACTGTCATGGACTCTACTTACTGCGTACACCATATGCAGTTCACTCGACGTTGATCCTTGTAACAAAACTCCGGACAGCGCGACACTGCTGGCGTCAGTGTGTACCTGCGTGATTGGTGCAGTCGGGTCGTACATCGCGACCACGGGTTCGCTGCACAGTATTCTTTTTAGTTCGTCAAACGATTTTTGTTGTTCACTTTCCCAGGTGAACACCGTGTTCTTGCCGGTAAGCGTCGTCAACGGTGCAGCTAGCTTGGCGTAATTCACGAAAAAACGTCTGAAGTACCCGGCGAGTCCTAAGAATCGTCTTACTTCGTGCTCGTTTCTCGGTCGTGGAAACGTGGCTATGACCTCCGTCTTCTTACCCGGCTGAATCGTTCCTTTCGATATTCGAAATCCCAAATATTCCAAACGATCGAACCCGAAAGTGCATTTGTTTGGCTTAAGCGTCAGCCCGGCAGCGCGTAACACCTTGAACACTTGTTCTAATCCGTCAAGCATGTGTTCAGAGTCCTTCGACGGCATTATTATGTCGTCCATATAAACATTGACCAAACCATCGTTTTTCAGTTCTTTGAAAATGGTGTTCATCATACGTTGGAACATCGCTGGTGCTCCTTTGAGGCCAAAGGTCATCCGTTCAAATTTTGCTGCAGCGTCTTCGGTAATAAACGCCGTTTTCTCTTTAGCTTGGGGGCTAAGCGGGATCTGTAGGAACCCGTTAGAAAGGTCCATTGTCGTAAATATGACGCCGTCTGCAAGTGTACTCAGCTGGCCATCGATGTCGGGCATCGGGAAAATCGGTTCCCACGTTATAGACTCTCGTTGCTCAACTTCTGCGACATAAACACGTATGTCCTCGTCGTGCGGCGTCGTAAATAGCACACTTGGATCGGCTGGGCTGACTGAATCAAGGACAAGCTCAGCTCCACATTTGAAGTAAACAACATGAGCTAGGTTTAGCCATGACCTGCCCACTATTACGTCGACCGGAATCGATTTGTCGGGGACGATGAGTACCGGGTGATCCGCTCCGATAACGCCGTCAACGGCCACGTCTGTCGTCCCTTCACCCGTCGTTTCCGCACCAGGTTGTGTCGCATCTCCCACCGTATAGAGTGGGCGCGATACGAGTCGTACACTGATGTTACATTCGCGTGCAATCGACGCTCGGACTAACACATCGGATGTACCTGTGTCAACCAATCCATCCACTGACTTCCCGTTCAATTGCACTGTCTTCAGAAACGGATTCCGACTTGACGTAGTGGTGAGAGATTCGACTAGACAGGCGTCCGATTTCCCTGTTGTTGTTTCGGCGGTCTCCTCGGTCGCGGTACAACGACTACGCGTGTGCCGTGTTGATCCGCAGTTCGAACACGGACGTCTTGGTTTCGGACAGTCTCTGGCGATGTGTCCTTCTGCTCGACAATTATAACATTGAGGCGCCTTGTACTCATATTTCGGTGTTTGTTTCACAGCATCGTCTTTTGCCGCTACCGAAGTCGTCCACTTCGGAGCCGGCGGCAAAACGTTGGTACTTCGGCTTGCGTTGTCCTCTTCCGATGGCGTTTTTCTCTGGTAACCGGTCGATGGGTTTTTATTTGACGCAAATCTCGTTTTCCGTTTATCGCGTAACCGCTCCCAGTCGTGCAGATCGGACAGCAACTCGGTTAGGTTTTCGTGGCGTCGACTGGAGGTCCAATAGGCTTGATCCTGAGATCGGAGCCCCTCCAACACATAATCCCTCGTCTCCGAAAACGTTAGATCGAGAGAACGGCACATTCCCGCCTTGTCGTAGAAATATCAATTGTCGTAGTATATCAATCGATAACTTCAGAATTGAGATAGTATAGCACTAAGATCATTTCAAACGATAAATATTTCTGATAAATATTTCTCCGTGTCTATTTATCACTTTTCAAATCACAAATTCATAACCATGTTCTAAGACAAAAATAATTTTATGCGGCGAAATGGGTCGGCGGCAAAATGGGATTAATTTGGCGGCGAAATGGGATACGACCATTCAGACGTGTACTGCCACCCATTAGTGCAAGCCCCTTCACGCCACTCTGTACGTCATTATTTGGACTTAGCAAAATTATCGAAGTGTTAATAATAAATTCACAAATATACAACAACACTGTTTATCTTATTTAATCATCAACCACGACTACATCATCAGAAGTGTCTGCTACCTGCAGGCTGCAACGTTAATGTTCTGGTAGCCACTTGTCTATCATTTATACTACAATAGTAGGCACCAAGCTACGCAGCACATTACACAGATAATTGACAGTTTCGCGTCTTTTATGTAACCTGTGTAACCTGTTCTGTAATCTGTAGTGTCTTTTTTACATATAAATATACTAGATATAAATAATATATAATAATTAATAATACTACACTCACGATGTAGAGAAGATCTTCTCTATGACTCTATAATAGTTCTCTAGATCCATAGTATAAGGAATAAGAAGTATGCTCAATGATGAGACTGCGCATATTTTTTTAAGTGGCAATGTATAATTTATATAGCCATATAGGCAACCGACAATAAGCACAAGGGGATTCACATGCGCGAACTAGGACGAAAACACGGTTCGATTTGATCATACTTCTTATTTCTTATATGTCTGTAGATCCATAGAACAATACTGAATACATAGTGATTCGTGACTATTATAAAGAAATCTGTGTTATATACTTATCAAGGTGGATATATATACCCTGTTCAAAATAAGAAGCGACCTGATTTACGCTTGAAAACCGGTTTTACTAGTGGCCGCCTGAATCGCTTCTTAAAATGAACAGACTATATATATATATCCACCTTGATACTTATATACTTATATCACAGAATAGATTAAATATATCACGAGCATCTCAGCATGACGTCATTTTGGCATCCGGAGGCCTCTGGTATTGTTATCATAACAAAAGTATACGTTTATTCACAGATATATATCGTTTATATATTGCGTTTATTGCAACGGTGGCCACTCGCTCGGACGTTAAAATTTAAAATCGAAAATACCCCCAATTTCTGTGTAAACCGTGAAAACGTGAATGTTCTCCAAAATATTGTTTTTAAACACGTTTATTGTGATATCAATTATCAATATGTGTGAACCACGGTTAAAGATATATCTTTAACCGTGGTGGGAACCCTTGATATCTAATACTATAAAATGAAGAACAGCTGACTGATAATACAAGCAACCCGTGGAACGGAAAACGCAGTTAGAGTGAAACCGTGGAGTAAAAAATGAAGCACCGCTCCGTTTCCCCAGCCCGCCGGCCATGTCCCGTCGATTCCTTATAGCGCGACCAATCGCGTACCTTCGCAGTGGCGGCGGTCGGTTTTAAAACGTTTTTCGTTATCACCTCTTTTCCTATCATTTCGCCGATTTTCGGAAAATTAGCTGTTTTTACACGATATCTTTTCGCCCTTTTATATACTTAATTCGAAGTAACCGGTGTGCGGTTTATATTCGTGCAATGTCGATCAATAAATACACTCCCGACCGGACTTTTTTGCCGATTTTTTTCCTTTTCTCCCTCCGTTTCGTCTATTCGCACAATCGCACCCGTTTGTGTCCGAATCGAGTCTTTTTGAAGCCGTTTATATGCGCTTTTCCCCCAAAATCGGTTCGTTCGCCTCGCAATCGCGTTTGGAAATTACGCCGGCGACCGACCAGCCGTACGCGTATATATACATGTATATACGTGTATAATTTAATTTTTCCTTATGATTTAATAATTATTAACGGAAAACGCTTTTCACACGCCCCGTTAAATATATATATGGGAGATGCGCGTATTACAAGCGAATTATATGCGATTACATCGATGTACATCGAATATATCGGTTTACGTCGCTCCGTAGTCGCACGGCTTAATTGTTGATGTTTTCACTGTCTTTCATATCTCAAACTGTGTCCGAGTAGGTTAGGCGTTAGGCAGGAAACACGTAGGTCCCGGGTTCAAATCCGTCGTACGCCGTCCAGGCATTGAAACCGTTAATGCCATATGGTTTACACGGCCGCCCAAATCCCGACTTTTTTTGCATTTTTTTTTCACGTTATTTTTCATATAAATTAAATAATAATAATAATATAATAATACAGGAACATATCGTACATTATTATCATTTTATATCACACAATAAATAGGTACATATTATATTTGTTTTATTAGGAATTATTAAAATTGCATATTTTTTAAAATTTCCATGATTGTTATATAAATATATAGTTTGTATTTTATTTCGGTTTGCCTTGAAAGTTAATCTTGATTTTGACTTGAGAGTTGAGATGACTGACTTGCTAGACACTCCAACACGGTTTTTGACTTTACACTTTTTACATAAGAAAAGGCACCGGACATGCGAAGGCACATACCACTCTATGTGATATACCTACTATATATAGGTGATATACGGATTGCTCATTTTAGTTTCGTCTTAAACGGTGATGATTGACTTGATAGACACTTTAACAAATAACATGCAGGTTTTTGCAATTTTTTTTTAAATTAATATATATACACTATAGGTACATGTTTATATGTATTGGTTAATATAATAGTATGTATCTAACTATCTACCTATATGTTAATATTTTTTAGGAATTATAATTGCACATTTCTCAAAATGTTCATTGTTATATTATATCACACAACAAATACATATCATATTTGTTTGTATGTATATAGTTTGAATTTTTCGTAAATTATTTCGTAAGTTGTGTGATAGGGTTTTCACTTATAGCCGCTTGATGTCGGGTCTGCAATCCACCGCAGGTGGATTGCCTACCTGATTTGCTGTAGCACATATAGTCCGCGATCCGACGAAGTCGGATTGCCTACCTAAGTGGCTAACTTGAAAGTTAATAGATTTTGACTTGAGATGACTGACTTGCTAGAAACTCCAACACGGTTTTCGACTTTACACTTTTTACATAAGATAAAGCACCGGTCATGCTACGGCACATACCACTCTATGTGCAGGTATACTCTATATAGGTGATCCTGGAGATCGTATCCAGCCTATCCATTTACAACGTTTGTGACGGATTGCTAGACACTCAAACTTTTAACATTCCCGCCAAAGCGTCTAGCCTTATCTCCAATCCATATCACTAATCCTTATCACAAATCCTAAACTTTCGTCTTACAAGTTACAACCTTTGCGACTTTTATAATTCATTGTCTCCAAAATCGGTACCCACTCTCAGCGATTCCAACGGGCCCCGAGTT